ACGTTGTGTTCTCTTTCTTCTTTTTTTCAGCATGGAATAAACCTATTACTTGTTCCTTTGCAGCCTACGCATGCTGACGCAGCTACCCACCTGAACTATTTATGAGAGACGGTGCTTGAGGAAAGCTCTAAGCATCATCAAAGACCCCACACACCCCAGCTACAGACTGTTTGACCCTCTACCATCTGGAAAACAGTACTGGAGCATTTGGGACCAGACTACCAGACTCAGAGACAATTTTTACCCCCGCACTATCAAACTATTAAACTCCCAGCCTCTCTCACCTATGATCTGAACCTCACAGTGCCTTCTTTCTTACCAAAAACTCACACACACATAAAGTACAGTACAATAGGGGTTGTCAGTCTTGGTCCAGCATTGTATCTACAGAAATTGCATGCTAACTGCAATTTTGGAGTTTGGCTACAACATTATTTGGCCTAATCTGCAATTATCAGATTGAAATATGTGAAGCTGCACAGGGATGAGAATTCTGTGTCTCCACAGAAAAGCATAATGAATAGACAATGACTTCTTTGTGTGTTCCTCATCCTGTGTCCTGGAAACACACAGCAGGAGGTGGTCGGGGAGTGAGAGTCTGTAAATGCAGGGTGATTATGTGATATTATTTGCAGTGGGGTGCAAATAACTCCACAGTAGCACTGCCTGGTGGTGTGCTGACTACATGAAGGATTTAACTCTATAACTATTATAATTAATGAATACTATATAATTAAATATGATAAAACTTGTCCGTGCATTATAATATATAAAGCACATACAGTACTGTATAGGCAAGGCCGACAGTATTGGCAACACTATCTAAATCACCTGTTTCCAGCTCTTTAACCATTGCTAAATTTTAAATTTCCATTACAAACCAATAGGATTGTAATTGGAGAAAGTGGGTATTCCCTTACCAGGAAGGACTGCCTATCTGGTAACGGGTGGATGGACAAATGGATGAAATAATGTAAAGTGTGCTTATAATATTAGACTCTTTGAGCAGCTTTACCATGAAAGTTGTACACTCTGGAAGAAAACAAAAAATGTACCTGTGCAGAAACATGTTGTTTCATTACTTGCAGTTTTCCAGTTCATTATCATCATCTTGTCCGTTTTCTCTTCATTCATTGTTCATTGTACTGTATTTGTATTCCTTTTATATTTTCATATTCAGTATATATAGTGCAATTAAGACTCTGATTTAACATACTGCAAAGTTCACCCCATTGAATAACATGACCTTCACAACATTGTCATGACGTTTGCGAAACCACCAGAGAGACAATATGGTTCTGATGTCCAGAAATGTCACAGATTTATATTTGCATCTTGGCTTAAGTCAGTTAAAATCAGTAACTGACCAGCTGTGCTGGTTCTCTTTTGATCCCTTGCATGTTCTGCATGAAGAATATAAACTCGTGGGAATTATTTTAACACATGCTCAATCAAATTATTCAATAAATGTGTTCCCAATAAAGCAGTAATGGTTTATGGGGAAATGCACATCAGTGGATTATGTGCAAAAATGAAGGGGAAATGTGAAATTATATGCACATAGTGTAATTGTGGTAGGAGTAAATTTCAGGGGTTCTGGTGTACAGTAGTTGTGAGGATTCCTGTAGGAGTGGTGTTAAATGAATGCATACGGTATACACAGATGTCATGTAATGGCATATTTATTTGTAACATAATGTTTACTTATTATGTTTTGTAAGTTTCTGTGTGTAAAACAGATTTAATACATGACAACTCTCTGAGAAATCAGACAATTAAGCATTATTGAATCACATAAAATAACTCAATTTTATGACAATTTCAAGACAATTCTGATCACAGTACAGTTTCTATGTTGAAAGACAAAGCTGAAATACAGTAGATTTTTCTTTTGCCTGAGCAATGTTTTCCACTGTTGAACTGGGAAAAAATGATAAATGGTAGATTTTTTACTTATACTGTACATATTTACAATAATGTATATTTCGCATTGATTGTCAACTTAGTTCTTGATGGTGTTTGTACTGTATATGAATAAATATAGTCAAACAAAACTACAATGGAACAATGTACAATGTACAGAAAAATGTGTCTATAATAACTATTATTTTACATTACATTATAATGTTCACCAGACATTATACAATTGTTGAATTCACAGGTGCTCTGTAAACTGTATAAAAGACACAAAAATAAGAAAACTTGTGTTTGATACAAGAGTCTCTTTTATTGCCACAGCACCTTCACACCTATGATTAGCCTTTATGAATCAGCATTCTTCAGTTTAGAGTTTAGAAATACTGTTGTCATGGTCACATGTCTCTTATATGGTTAGGGTCTCAATTGGCATTGTGGTTGAGGTCAAACTCAAAAGAGTTGAATGTTACCTGGTAAGACGCATGGATACTCCTGATTTCCCCCAACCACAGATATCTTACAATGATGAAGTGCCATAGTTTTTCAAATAACACCAATGTGTTTAATTTTTGCTTTGCTGTTTCTTGGCCTTCAAGTTATTCTGTGAGTGTCTATAATGAGATGACTGATTGAACTGAGAAACTAAATTAACTATATGCCTGCTTTTTAAAAATGCCACTAGAGCCTAACGTGACTACACACCAACGTTTACTGGAGGACTGTAACATTAGTAATAAAACAAAATGAAACACTTTATTGTGAATGGTAAATTAAAAACTGAAGACTGTCTCTTTAAACTACATTCAAATAAACGGAGCAGACAAACATAAACCATGTCAAATGAATTACAACACATTTAACAGTCCTTGCTCCTGAGCAGGTTCAAGATATAAAGTTCAACTCTGCATTGTTGGTTGGCATTAATGATTTATAGACTGAAGCAAAAGTTAAATATAACTTTCTTATCCACCTCTGAAGTTTTCTCTATAGAGGCCTCATTAAGACATTCTTTCTAGATTATTCCAGATATTCATAATGAATTGGTCTAATTTAATTAACTATTAAGTAATTTGCAGTTCTCAAGCCTCAGAATCTTATAGAACTACAAGCTATTTGTTCAAATTCCAGAATGTGAAAGTGGAGACTTACATTTACTACTTTTATTAAGTAATAAAGTATATGGCACTGATAGTTTTTAGATGATTAACTTTAATTTGTATACAGCATATATCTAGTGTAGTTAGTGTCTAAGTGTTACTTTGGTTGTTTGCTAATAAATTTTCATTTTTCATTTTCATTAAGTCCTATTTTTATGTCTACAATCCAACTAAGACTCTTGCATGCTTGGGAACTTAAAGAAAAGAACATTAAGTGTCCGTTTTAACTCATTGTTTTAAGAAAAGTCTCACCATTTGCACAATAAATCCTTAAAGCTCAGTTGGAAACATAATTCTTTTGATAGAGTTCTGTATTTTAAAAAAATAAAAATCAATGGAGAATTTCTTATTTATTTATTAATGACATTTAGAATATGGGTAACTTTCTGAATTGAAATAATATACAGTATATTTCATACATATTTACATATACTACTCAATATGTGAATAGTCACTTCATTAAAAACCAAGCTTTATTATTTAAAATTTCTTTTGGACATCCTTATTAATGTTTGTGTATGTGGTGAGGGGTGTTGCATTTGACAAAATCACTGTTGAAAACAAAATCTGATTCTTCATCATCATCTCATGAGACTTCCATCAGAGCATTTGTATATATATTATACTCCGGAGAATATACTGAATGGAAAAGTCATGAAAGGACTGATTTGACAAAGAACTGATAAAATATACTACTAAAATTTGATTGCCAAAATGCCTGATATAAGTTCAGGTGTAAGCCAGCACAGGTGTAAGTATTTTCTGATATAAGCCACTTTTGCAGGAAAATAACAGTATCCTCTGTTGCAGTTTCTCTGCAGTGGGACACTGGTTCCTAAATGCGGTTTTAAATGCAAACATTTGTGCATTTCTCATTGTCTTAGCAGTTAAAGAGTTTTATTGTATTTGATTATTTTACTGCAGTCTATATAGTAATTAGGAATCAGAAAGCCAGGGAGGGATCCTTGTTGTGTACAGTTTTAGCTATAACTGTGATCCCACAGGCTCCAGCAGGTGTCTGATCCCACTCCCTGAGCCCCACACACCTGCTGCTTTTTGTTCTATCCTTCCTTTGAGTCACACAATTACACCCTTAACTGACTTAGTTACCAGATTAATTTAAACTGTTTGATTATTTTTCTCTCTTTAACATATTGGAGGTTGCCTTTTATCCACCTATTAATCCATTTACTAGCTGTTTCATCCAATTCAGAGTCACAGGGGAGCCAGAGCAAGTCCTGACACACATGGCAGGATATATCCTGGATGGGACGCCAGTTCACCTCAGGGCACAGACAGACACAGTCACACCCAACACTAGGACCACTTTTCTCAAAGGCCCATTAACCCATCAGTATACATACAACACAAGATTAGATAACACCCCAAGTCTGGAATTGAACCCAGGGCTTTAGTACTGCAAAGCAAGCAATGCTATCCACTGCACCACTATGACACCCTGGTAACATCCCAAATGTCTTAGTAGAAAAGAAACGTGCAGGGGTTCCAATCAAGTAACTTATTTGTTCATTTAATTAAGCTCAGCTGGAAGGAATCCCAGGTGTATGAGACTCCAGAATAATGATTGGGAACCCTTGTTTATTGTTTAGCTCTAAGCAAACCCAGCCCTACAGAGTTGGAGCTGTCCATCTGAATTTAGCTACCAATTGTTTCCTGGCTATCAGACAGGACAGGTCTTCCCTAATCTTAGAGTAATTGCTATGTACTGTAACTGAACTTGAATTATTTTCTTAATTGATATAGTAGATACATTACCATCAGAGAGTACAATCATGATATTTTGTGCAATTATAATAATATGTGCATGTATTATTTAATGGCATTTTATTTTTTCAACGGAATTATATTTTCTAGTTAAAATATTATGCTAATTTGTAAAGATTTCAATCAAATACTGTAATAAGGATCACAGCAGCAACCGTGATCTTACTTGATGGAGGAAGCACATGCAGACTATTTGTAAAACAATGCAGTAAAAACTAAAATTAAATACCAGTATTTGTATTGATATTTAACTTTTGCAATTTTGCAATTTTACTTTTGCAATGATATTTTTATATCTCTAGGCATTATGAAGGTAGAGTGATTTTCAATTTTAAAAAGGGAGAACATTAAACATTTTTTTTCTTTGAGGTATGGCCAAACTTTGAGGTTACATCATAATGTTTCTCGTAGTACACTCAGTATGACTCAGCAAGATTTTCCCACAGCAGAAGCTTATAAAGCATAGCAACAGATTCGCATCTGTCTCAATTTGCTGTGTGCCTTGCTTTGCAGTCAGAACTTCTCCAAGAAGTAAGTGCACGCTATTTTTCACTCATATTGTACAATATACATGCAATACCTCATGCAATATCTTAGTTAATAGTTTTTATATTTTAATTAGAATATTTTAGAAACTATTAAATAAGGAAGATTGCGTCTTCTGGCACATAAACGATCACATTTGTGTAATTTCTGGCGTGATCGAGTTTCCTTTTTTGCACATTATTAAGTAACTAGCAGTGTGTCTTGGTTCCCAAAATAGTTGTTTATTTGCATTACTTAATGCTTTTTAAACTTAAATGCTCGGTAGTGGTTAGCAATTGAATGTAAAATACTTTCGATGAAATTCAGATCTCAATATGCAATTCGATTAATGTTTTCGAAATTTAAATCTCAGTCTAAACCAGCTGCTGATTTTTCATGGTACTTTTATTACGTGCATACTAGTCACACATTGTTTTTTTTTTCTAGAATCGTTCAGCGAAATTAAATGCGTATGTGTGTGATACCGAATTGCTGAGTGAGAAACCTTAACTACGACTACGTATTTTACGATCAACCTAAATTAAGAAAGTCGTCGGTGGACCTGTTTTCATAAATTGTTGTTAACATTTGCATTTTACCTATTTTTAGCGAAAATACGTTAATTTAAAAGACACCAGTCAATCTTGACATGTCTCCCATTCAAATACGTCGTTGCATAAAATTAGTATTGAAACTACCATTTGAATTGTGATTGATCACAACCCATAAAGTACTCAATGGATCGCTGTGCTGGCAAAATTACCATCACGAATAATCTTCTGCAGTGTTTTTGCTGTATTTTTGTATTGCATACATGTTGTGATCTTGCTTTACTGAACTTGGACAGCCTTACGTCTTTCTTTCGGATAAATTCTGGAGTGTTTAAATGGAAGACTTAATCGGAATAAGAGCATTGTTCTCGCATTTTAGATCGCTGATCATGCCCATATAGCACCCGAGTTACACCACTCTTCTACAGCTAAAATTTAAATATACCTAAGTGCATTTTTGTGTCTTCTCACGATGGATTTTTAAGAAAACTGCAAGACTAAGACACTGTAGACTAAGATACAAACCTTGACCCTAATCTGTTATTAAAACTGGGAAGATAAGCAAAATAAGGATTAAGGTGATTAAGCATTGCAGAAGTAAAGGACAGTTTTTTTCAAAACGGCAGTATTAAAACCCTCAGCCTGCCTGCCTTGTAAGAAAAGTCTATAGTTTTGAAAACTATAGACAACAGGGAATGGAAAAGTCCATTCCCTTTAGCCCCATTAATTAGAAAATGGCACATAGACAATGATTCCTCTGTGATGTAGAATTGCATAATACACAGTGGACTGGGAGTGAATGGTGAGGGACTGTGTACACATTAATAAAAAAACATTGTTTGTGTTGTGGTTCAGAAAGTTAGTTATTTAATACTGAGGTTAACACTTAAATTGGAATATTAAAAGCCCATATAATGAAATTACTATTAATTTTCTGTTTCTGATAACTTTTTTCTTCTAATCTCATTGCAGTGCCAGCTTACACAATTACGTATTTCCCTGTCAGAGGTATGTAAACTCTGTACATTTCTGAAGTTTATTTAATTACTTATTTTCTTTCCTGCCATCTTTGGTGTAGAGAAAATTAAAAGATTGGATAACGCCCAAATCCGACACGAAGAAAAAACATCTGGAGGGGAATCACCAATAAGACTCTAAAATTTGGAGAAAACTCAAAACAGTTCAGTCCAAGTGCAAAGCTCCAATGAGTCAGAATCAGAGTTGTCTCAAGTAAAGTCCTATGAAAGATAAAGTGATGCATATTACTATTTAATCATTTGTTTTCCTGACTTTAAATGTTATTTGGATGCAACATATGTGAAAGTTGCAAAATAACATTACACATGTGTAAATTATAGCAAATATTTTTGGATAAAGGCTAATTGTATGCACAAATAGTTGTAAGGCAAGTATTTAAAGTTGCCTGGATAAGAGGACCAAAAGAACGCTGTCATAAATTCCTTGTCAACAACAGCAAAAATTATTGTATTGGCTAATGTAAATTAAGACTACATTTCTACATTGTACAATGGAGAATTGTCAGCTCAGTGCTTAACTTTTTAAGTCACATTTAAGTATACACAGTATACAGTACTGTGCAAAGACTCACTTGTAACTGCTGCACTTTAAGATGACAAATGCAATAAGTATGCTGTTGCTTAAACTCAACTGATGTCATGATGAAAAACATTCAGAACATTAAGAGAGACATCACTCCTCTCCCCCAAATCACTACTTTTAACTTTATCAGTACTTTGTGCTAAATTTGTTTTGGCCACTTTGTGACACTGATTTCTGAAAGATTCTGTTTTGGAAAGTTCGCTCCCAGTATAGTACTTTGCGGAATTCCATGTGGGCATGTTGGGTAAAAACAACTTGAGGAAATTAAAAATAGTGCAGTAGCACGAACGAGCAACACCAGTTTATTTCACCTGCGTTGGTGTAGAGGGGTCAGAGTGATGCCACTGCTCTAAGAAAATAATCCTTAATATCTGGTATAAATGAGAGAAATACAGCACTATAATTTTTATTTGTTCTTCGAAAGCTGTTTATACTTCCTAAAGGGTGCCTATACTGAAAGCATAGGGCAAAAGTTGGGACTATACTGTGAATGAGGTGTCATTCCATTCAAGGGGAAATGCCAAGGCAATCTGGTGACTCCAGTTATCCCAGCCAGTATATCTGTGGACGGTGGGAGGAAACTGGAGCCCCTGGAAAACGCACAAACCTCGCACACAATGTGCCCCAGTCCAAAACTGAACCTGGGGCGTGGTTGGGGCTACTGCCTCACAGTTATGTAAGGATTCCCTATAAAAGGGAATGGAGGGACAGAAATAAAATATTGAATAAAGAAATAAGACCCTGTAATTAGAATAAACACCAAATACAGCATTACTGAAAATATACAGTACAGTTAAACATTGGACAGAATTGCCTTTTAAGATTCACAAATACTGCAGTCTACATTTCATTACACTAGACTGTACTGTTCATAAACTAAACACAAAGACACAGTAAATATGGGTTACTCACAGTTTTCAACCAAAAAAAACGCAGGTTAATCTTGAATTCACGTAAGTTGTGGCACACATGAATATTTCAAAAACTTTGTATTGTAAGAAGACTTTAAAAGATTATGGCCAAATACTTGAGTCCCTGCACTTTCACTGGAGTTTGGGTGCGAGGGCACAGTGGGGGGCTCTTATGAATTTAGTGTCATGTTGCAGCAAAGAGCCCGGTTTCTTGAAAATCAAGATCTTCCAGTTTGTGGTCATGAACATAGAGGGGATGCTGTGCTGCTGTAGAGGCCCAATGAAAAATGCAGGGGACACCCTTTGAAAATTTTTGGTGCATGACATAAACAGCCTCGCAACAAGATAGCTGGAGCATAAATAATGCAAATATGCAATCCCATGGTGATGCCCAGTGTTCTGAAACAAATTCCCTACCAACACAATAGCTAGTGCCCAAACAATACAGTCTGGCAGTATTTCCTATAGTTTCTAAAATAGACATCAGAAACAAAGAACAACCTCAGCGTGCCATGGTTATTTCTATCGCATGTTTTTTTGCACTGATCAGTGAGGACAGAAAGTATCTCATTAATACTGAGCGTCTGTGATTTTCACACATGATTTCATTAAAGAAATAGCTTCAGGACACAGTTTGTTCACAGGACTAAGCATAAAGTGGGAACAAAGGATCTTGTGATTTAGTTTTAAGTATACCACACATAGATTTCAAATGAGTGCAATGGCCTCTAGCGATTTCTGAAATCTTAGAATAACGTGCATTATGTGTCTTGCCACAGTGTTTGTCTTCCTGTTTTAAATCCCATAATGGTATGCTTAAAATTGATGATTTAATTTAAAGTGCCTTGTGTATTGTGAACAGGGCGCTGTGAGGCGATGAGGATGCTTTTGGCGGACCAAGGCCAGGACTGGAAGGAGAATGTGGTTGAAATTAACATGTGGATGAAGGGAGACCTGAAAGCTAGTTGTGTGAGTTATTCACATCTCCATTTGACCCACCTTGTTTGTCTGCTGGGAGTTGATCACTTCTTGAAGGGGGGTTGGTATAGGTAGGGCGGTCCCTTTCCAGGCCATCAAGGCCCATGGGGGGAATGAGGGGCAAGGGCCACCGTTTCTTGGCCATCCAACACCGGAGTTGGAGGTGATGTGTCAGCATCCCACTCCAGCCGGCCTTTCACCCCTGGAAGGGTTAACCCCCGGTACTCATTTGGAAAGCAGGCTGAGTGGATCTGGGAGCCGTCTGGAAGGAATTAGAGTAAACTACATTGCTTGCCCCTTACCTGGGATTGAACCCAGGACCTTCCGGTCAGGAGCTAGACTCCCTTGTCATCTGATCTACAACGGCTCCGGAGGGGATATGTGTAGTCTTCTATAAAGTTGGAGTTATAAAAAAATCGTGTCTTCCAAACCTTGAGACTGTTTGCTTTTTTTTTTGCCTGCTCAATCTTTTGTTAGCACTTGATCACATTGATTTTTCAACGCAGTTCTGTTTTTGCTCAAAATAGAAATGTCATCTCTCAGATGTTTTATTTAATGGAGGTGTAAGGGAGTGTATGTTCAGGTTCTTCATCATAAGCTGTCACACACCTGTAAGAAGGGGGGTGGAAGAACAAAAAATAGCTTTAATTACCTGATAAAATAGCTTAATGAATGGATCAGTTAAACATCATAATTCAGAAATGATCTACAGTAAATAATAGGAGAAACCATTTTTTTTTTTGTATTTTCTGTTCTGTATTTGTGAAGTTAAGTAAGACCTGCTGTCAATGTCCAAATCTAAGCAGTGTGTGAATGATTTAAATTAAAATATTCACTTAATCCAAGTTTTGAAACTTTTATTTTAAGTATGTGTGCTGTCTTGGCTATCGTAGAACTGTAAAGTAACAACATAAAAAACTGTTCTCACCGAACTCTTATTTATCTAGTTGTTCGGCCAGTTGCCAAAGTTTGAAGATGGAGACTTCACCCTGTACCAGTCCAATGCTATGATGAGATACCTGGGCCGCAAACATGGTATGAGTTGAACATTTTCACCCCGTTTTCAAGAAAACAATACTGTTAATTTGTGTAGCTTTTGTTTAAACTGGGTAAAACTGAATATTCATTCAGAGTATAAAAGTAATCAATTTATCAGCTGAGGGGGAGTATGAGATTAAATGAAGGGGAACGGTGAGATCTGTAACCTTTGCTTTGATCAGTTTCCCAGAATACTGTGGAATGTGCCAGTAGATGATGTTGAAAATCTGTATCTCTTTTAACAAAGACTTACTTCAAATTTCATAAGCAAGATGGTGACTCGATTTCAGTCAATATCTATGCGGTTGTCAGTGTCAGATAAAATATTTATATTCCTTTTCTTTAAGGACTTTATGGAAAAGATGACAAGCAAGCTTCTATCATTGATATGATGAATGATGCGGTTGAAGACCTCCGACTCAAGTACATCAAACTGATATACCAGGAATATGTAAGTATTGAAATATGAAATGTGTAAAAATCCTGTCCATTGAACCAGGGAGGGTCGACTTAGTTTTTACATGGTAGCTGGCCACACCTTCACTCAACTGTCGTTCTGTGCCGGTTACCATGGATACTAATTTGACTGTTGTCTTGTACCACCTGGAGGAAATTATGTGTCACTCCCACCTCAGGTAGTTCAAACTACTAAAGCCGTGATCTGTCAGTACTAGGGCACTCTGTCATAGTGTTCACTGTTTCTAGCTTTAGGCCAAGTTTGCTGTGTCTTTGGTTTCTGGATTCTGGCCTCTTGCTTTTCCTTTACTATTTTCATTGAGTTCTCCTGTTGTATTTTGTACTGTGTCTCTCACTTAATGGAATCTGCTTGTTTCCCACGTCTCCAAGCCCGTATTAGTGGATGCATGCATACTGTTTACAGTATATAACATCACTCAGCTTGGAGGATGGTGGGAGACAACTGCAATACAATAACATTTTCTAAACACCTAATGCTGTAATACCTATCAATTTTATCTTTCTCAATTTCCCCTTCTTTACCTGTGTTCATTGACTGCAGGAAACTGGTAAGGAAAAATATATTCAGGACTTGCCCAATGACCTCTCCAAGTTTGAGAAGATCCTGTCTGGCAATAAAGGAGGCTTTGTAGCTGGTGACGAGGTATTGTTTTTTTTCGCTTTATTTTTCTGTGGATTATAACTTTTGAATGCGGTTAAATATTTGCTACATAAATGTCTTGAGGTCCTACTGATTACCAAGGAAGTGGTAGTACCTAAGGAAAGTATAATTCATGGCTAGTACATTTATACGTCCCCCAGTTTGACTTTATACCATGTGTAGTTACAACATTCCTTTTTACAGAAATAAATTGGGGATAAAGGCATGGACTGTAGTTGAAATGGGAACAGGGAAGCTTTAAACCGTATCTGTTCAATACTATGCTAATTCTCTTGTTTGGTAGATTTCTTTTGCTGACTACAGCCTCCTAGATGTGCTGCGAAATCACCAGGTCTTGGCCCCAAAGTGTCTGGATTCCTTCCCTACACTGAAGAGCTACGTGGATCGGCTGTCTTCCCGCCCCAAAATCAAGGCTTTCCTGGAGTCGGATGAGCACAAGAAGCGTCCCATCAACGGCAATGGCAAGCAGTGATGATCCCGACAGCTACACAGGAATGGAAATCCACTTTGTTCACAGTTAGCCTTGGAGTTCTTTTTTACTACTCGACTTGAGGCTTGACAGTCCTAGCCTGATGCTTGTGAGCCAAGCTCTTTAGTTTCTACACAGTTTTGATAACCACAGTTCCTATTGTGACAACCACCTAGCTTAGTTCTGTGTTTAATAAAATCTCTCAGAAACCTTTTTTTTTGGAGTTTTTATTAGCTGTTCTACCCGTTTTGTTCTAGTGGGAGTATTCTGTGCCTGTGTTCAGTGCATGTGGGAATATGACATTTCATTCATCCACTATGCTCCACTTCATATCTCTGTAAAATATAACTCAAGAATCAATGGTTATTACACATCACACGGAAGTTTTATAGTAAATGTTTAAAAGCCAGTATAATGCCGTAATGGTGCTATTTTCCCTCCAGTTCTGTACTTTGTCAGAAGTAAATTCCTTTTCAAATTACAATGTAAATTCTGGTGACGTTGCAGTCTTCCAGGCATCAGGTTTGGAAAAGGGGTCTATTAACAGTAAACAACATTAATCCATATGTTTGTTCCAGAGGATGAAACCTTATTTTAAAAAACAATTTAGGGCATGGTTAACAATTGAATTGTTCCGTATAAATAGGTATAGAAATAAGCAGTCCGCTCAGATGTCTATAAAGGGCATTTTTACGGTTGAATATTTAAAACTTGAGAAAAGCTTATTTTGTGAGTCTCCGTCATTCAAGTTTATAAAGTCACTTTATAGGCTGTTGATCTTTACAAAGCTCTGCATCACATTAGCAATATTATAGATTATCTAGACATTCATAACCCTCTTAACGTTTGTGGGGTTTCATACTGTACTTCCCTTCTGAAATAACACCGATTTTAAAACGTGATATTTATAGCACAAAAAATGGTCTCGGTGAAAATACAGCATGACAATATACTGCCAAATCCACCCATACAGATAATTGCAGTTGTGGTTATTTTCCTTTTATGTATACTTTCAACAAAATATGATTTTTTTTCCCCCTTAATGTTCATTTTTCTAGATTTCTGCCTTTTGAGGATAAACAAATGTGGACAAAGCATAGCCACCATGCTAAATGTTACTATTGAAACAAAAAGGAGTTTTTGCTGGAGATACATCACAAGTAAATTAAGACCACTGGGATTTGAAAAATGAACCACAAAGATGCAAAAGAACATATATACTCTTTCTTCTGACCCTCTCCCAAGAATATCTGGCAGCAACAGAAGAATGCACGGCATTGCAAAGCTCCATAGAGAGCAGCAGGAGGCATTTAATAATCCTACGAAATTCCTTCCACAGTCGGACAGATATGCTGACAACAGGCTGCGTAGGGATGTCGATATATCATGTTCTATCCTCCCTATCCTGTAATTGTATTTTCTAGCTCTAATACTATCAAGGCAGAGAAAAGTTTCTAATGTATTTATTGGGTAGTTGGATTACATATGAAAATAACGGAGACTTTAAAAATAAAGTTCAAACTGTTTTCTGGTAAACCATCTGGGCCTGCAGTAACAGGCGAGTCATGGATTGGTCAAGATTAATAAACTCTTGCATAACTCAAATGCTCTACATCAGGGGTTCTTGAGGCCTTTGCATTCCAGCCAAGTTTAATTGCCTAATGTAAGGCTTAAGTCAATAAACAAGTGGACTGGAAAATGTGCATTTTTTTTTTAACTTGGAACACAAAAGGTTTGGTTGGCATGGCAGTACAGTGGTTAGCATTACTACCTCACAGCACTGGGGCCCTGGGTTCAAATCTGAACCAGGGGTGCTATCTGTGTGGAGTTTGCACATTCTTGTGTGAGTTTATTCTGGCTGCTCCAGTTTCCAATTCCAAAGGCATACTGGTAGGTTATTTGGCTTCTGGGAAAACATGCCTTGGTGTGAGTGTCTGTCTGCCCTGCAATGGACTAGTGTTCTGTCCAGGGTGTATCCTGCCTTTCTCCTGTTGCTTATCTGGGGATGGGCTCTGGCTCCCCTGTGACCCTGAACTGGAAGAAGCTGTAAAAAAATAGATTGAATGGAAGTTTGGAATTTTATGTGACTTGTGAAATATAAAATCTAAAAGGTGTCCAGTCAAAGAGTTCAAATGAATCCTATTAAAAAGTGAGTTAAGGGATGAAGTGTATAACCTACACTAGAACAAACACTCGTAGGAGTATGGACCTCCAGGACCAGGATCAAGGACCCTGTCCTAAATATATGAAATTGTTATTTATAAGAAGAATACGGATCGCAAATCCCTGTATCATAACGATTTATGACAAACGTTTTGTCCAGTAACGATTCACTGCTTATGTACAGCAGTGTCATGATAACGATTTGTGTACCTCTGTATTGATTTGACAGCTGACACGTAACCTTAACTTATTTAGCGCGTACAGGGTACAGTACGCCCATATTTTATAACGTGTATGTTTTATATAAAATAGGAACCTTGAGAATTAAATGGACTGTTTTTTAATTTTCAAATCTATAAATACTGATTCATTTCCACTACGCTTTGGAAATGTAAATTTAAATATCGTACGTAATTGGACAGTATCAGCATGTCTAAATGAAAAATATATCCTGATGCCTTATGATCATGATGTGCATGGAAAAATGAAACATGTAAAACCCCTGACAGTGACAGGAAAACTACAAGATTACCTACATCTACGCTAACCCCTCATATTATTCTCAATTTCATAGAACTATCCTAATTCCCATTCATATTTTTCTCTTTTGAAAGCGGGTTGGTTTTAAGGTACGGAAATGACGACCGAGGTCCCGCCTTCAGTGTCTTTTCAACATCCTGGTGCGCAGTCAAAACTGTCTGCAAAGCAAAGAGAAAGTAGCAAGCTTGAGCTCCCAACAATGTCAGGTTTGGAAGAAATTCCGCACCTCAACTCCGAGGTGCAAGAAGATGGGCATAATGAGGCTGGGGGAGAGGTGGAAGCCGAAGATGATTATGTAGCCGACCTGTGCATCGGGGGATACGTGTTCTACAGGTACGGACGCACAAGTACTCTGCACGCACTCGTGCAGACTTGTACAGTATTTCTACAGATTGCCGAGAAAGCTGTCCGTGTCTTATAAAAACTATAAATCAAAGAGTTCATATTTACGCTATTAAAACGCATTTCTTATTTTAAAATGTCCTCTTTCGTGGGTTGCTTAACATGTAATGAGCTTAACACTTGGTCAAGGAGCTCCGTTCCAGTTTTTTCACACTAAGTTAATATAATTAATTAATTGCACAATTAAAGAACATGTGTGAACAACAAAAGGCTTATTTATAGGCAAACAGGAATACGGACTCAGGTCTGTTTTTTGATTTAGAGTGTGGACGGCGGAAGTCTGTAAAATGATTGTACATGTGGGCTGGGACTGGCCCTGGATGCGTCAACAGCCATAATCTTTTTACGGGACGCTATGATAGTTTCCTTCCTATCGCAGGCTGGACAACAGTAAGTATTGTTAGACGACACCAGACTGAGAAAAACACAGCTATGGTGTAGTGAATTCTGTATTATGAGATGGTGTGAGCCACTCACGCTGCTGAACTTGCACTGTATTGTGTTTTGCTGTTATGCTAGTAAACCGTAGTGGTCATGTCTGCTACTTGCAATGGACTGTATGCTGTTATTTCACTGTTTTGTAATGATTATTATAATTTTTATAATATTTTGATTGCACATAATATCTCATTGCATGTAATGTGAATAAGTTTATTGATAATTTTTACTGTAAGAAGCGTTCTCAGTCAGAATTCATATTTAAAAAATATGGATCATCCCCCTGTTATATTCTTATATTAAAGTTTCCTTAAGAATTATCCGTTTTTTACTTCATTATGCCAATGAGTGAAACACCTGTTTCTTCCATTGTTCTTTTCTGTAAAAGCTTTTTAGTAGAAATGTTGGCCAATTGGGGAAGTTCATGACAAAATGGATACACAATCCGTCAAAGACCTTAGTAGCTCTAAATAAAATTGTTTAACTCCTGTGGCATGTACTGGACAGTGTATGAAATGGAGCACTTTAATCATGATCATACACATTTGTAATAATGAAAAGAAAACAACTTGCAAGACATCACTGTAGTGGGATTCTAATAATTTTATTTATATAGTAGGTAGTACAGAGAATATTATACTGTATATACAGGAGATAGGGTTTCCAAAAAGAAGATTAATGAAAAAAGTAAAGTGTGTATACTAGTAGCAGAAGAGTCCCTAACACTTGATTGTGCTATAGTGGTTCTGGTAATTCAACAGACAAGGAATGGACCAGAAAAAACGACTTCTTGGGTTACAACTGTTCAAACTCGAGCTGGAAGTGTTCTTAACCTGAACTGGTAGCTCTGAAGTCAAAATGCAGCCTGACCCTAAAGAATAATGTGGGTTTTTCATAATCTGTTACATGCATAATCATTGTTAGGGTGATCGTTTGAGTAAACAAGTGTATATACAGTAAATGCTGCATTTAAATAATGCACACTGTGTAATGCTGATTTTATTCCCAGGTTTTATTAACATGTACAGTATGATGTATTTTAAACATGCAGCTTTTCCCGCATGTTATTAACAACAAAGAGCAAGATATTTGCAAGATAGTCACTATGAAACAGTTTAATCAAAATATTATACTGTGTTCTAATACAATTTAAGGAAGTTGACAGTACCTTCTAATGAAAATTAAACTTTGCTTTAATGTCCTCTTTGTCTTGTTCTTAAGATTGGTGTTATCATCAATGAAATGAGTTACATTCTCTCGGGGAATTTGTGTTCACCTTAAATTATTTGCTGTGTCAATAAACACCAGTTTATATTTGGTATTTTTTAGCTAAAAAAGCACATCATCACTTCTGGCACACCATAATACTCCCATTAAATTTCAAATTGCAGATCTCCCTCAGTCATTTATTTCCAGATTTCCAGGACAGAGTGTATATGAGGTTCATTTTTAGCCTGATCCGTTCCTTGTCCTAACTTTCATTATTGAAGGGCTGAAGGAAAGAGATAAGAAGTTGGTGTCTTCACCAGTGCTTATTTTTATTATTAGCTTTTTTGGGTTATGCTTTTAGTGACTTACTCAGCTGTATAAACGGGTATATTTTCCTAAAGCCATTTGAGTGAAGTATAAGCCCAAAGCTGTAACTACAGTTCCGCGTTAGCGCACACTTCATATTCCATCTCATTTCACATTCTTCTTACAGTCTGAATTTGTATCTAACACCACTTCTTTATGGATGTCACAAGAATTGTTAATGGGCGATGCAGTTGAAGTGTTTTCATTGATGTAGGGCTGCTTGTGTATTTGGAGCTTTTTCACAATCTTAATTGTGTCAGGTGATAGTTCCAAATCTGGCAACTCTGAAGATATTTTTATATAAGAAGCCACATTGTTGGTGATAAAATGTAGAGTGATAAGGAAATAATGGGAATTTGCTCCAGATCCAGAAAATGAGTGTGATAACAAAAACCATTCTTATTTGATCTTGTTTTGCCTTTTGTGAGATAGAAGTTGGCTATGTGCCATTCTCTTTTACCATGAAGGGCTCCAGTGCCTCATGATTGAGCTTCAATAGCCACGTTTGTAAATCTTCTGCTTAAATAGTGTCTTTCTTTTGCTCTCTTAACATTCTTATGAAACAGAAGCCTGTATGCTTGAGAGAGGTCCTTGCTGACCTGTCAATAATTGTTTTAAAGTGGGCTTCTGTACATTGTTTTGCAACCTTTGCAATCAGTTAGTTTCTGTTTTATTTTTATAATCAGTTTAGGAGGATGTGTGAAAGTTTTATTATAGATTGCTTTTAGATCTTGAGAATTTTTAGACGTTTTATTACAGAGCGCTTTGCGTTGATCAGTAGCAAAGAACGCAACTGATATGTTAATATGTTAATAATACCACAAAGTGAATACTTTTGATAACTACTGTATTTGGCACTTAGCATTTGGATTTGTCATTTCAGACCTTTGACCAGGAAACTGGTAGTTCTTGTGGTAAAAAGGTTGTCTGGAGCTGTGGGTTATTAGTTAAGAAATTTAATCTCCATCTCTCTGTGCTGGAGGGAGGGATGCTTAGTATCTACAGACAGAAGGTTGCATTCATTGCAGACATAATGCTGTACCAAGATTACAACTGTTTTTGCACAAAGAGTCACCTAAATGTTAAAGGTGGGAAATGTACATTTGATAAGGTGAAATATTAAGAGACCCTATAGATTGAATTATTTTTACTTTGCCGTGTTAGTTTTTCTTCAATAAACTATGACAGCTTAAGCATGGTTTAGAATCCTTTATGACTTTGGCTGACATGATCCTGGGATACATGTGCTTTTGTTTCTTGCAGGAACAGGAAGGAATGGTCTGACATTGAGCCACTGCCACAGGATGATGGTCCCAACCCAGTCGTGAAGATTGCATACTCTGACAAGTGTAAGATCCATTCACTGAAGATGCAGGTTTTTCCGAAGATTTTGCATTTCCTTTTCGATTCCAGTCTTAGATCATGTTTCTGCTTTTGCTAGATTTTCCAGATTTTCAGTTTTTTTCATTGGCCTATAAAACAAGAGAGTTTGCCACTTGAATATTTCCTGCTTCTGCAAAACTTTAGACTGTATTTTGTGAGTGAATGTCATGAGTTAAGCAAATTTAGAAATTACTTGAATTGTAAAGCACTGTACATGTTTTGTTTTTAGCTTTTAAGGTGATGGTTTTTATGCATTGGGTGAAGGAAAACAAAATAAAAGTGGCATCTATATTAAAAAAATGTTGCAAGCCATCTTTCTAAGGATCTGATGGAGACTTATTAATGTAGCATCGCCCTCAGTTTGTGAAGGATGACTTGCAATAAGCTGCTGCAAACAGCAGTTTTGTCTTAGTTCCTGTAGTTCAGTCATAAGTAGAGCTCATGTTTAAAAATACTTAGTTTGTGTCTTAAGAAAGAGAAAGGACAGATTGTCTTAGAAATAGCCAGAGATCAGAATGGAAATTCATTCCATGGCGTGTTGTTTTAGTGTTACACTTAAGAACTGTACATTTCTATTTGTATTGCTAAAGCTTTGTTTTTTTTTTTGTCTCTTACAGTTATGGATGTGTATGATTACTTCCGAGCCGTGTTAAAGCGAGATGAGAGGAGTGAAAGGGCTTTTGCATTAACAGCTGATGCCATTGAACTTAATGCTGCAAACTACACTGTATGGTAAGCTGCCTTGGGCTTGTCTTCAGTTATGATAAAGGAAACCAGCTTAGTGATGGAAAACATTTTGAGTTCAATATTTGCAGCCGTTCATAATGATTTTACTTTCACCCGATTACACAGAGGAAGGAGTTGTAAGAATGTCTGTTGTAAATGGGCATAGTGAAAACCGTGCAAGGCTCCTGGTCTAACATGCATAGCAGATATCTGTATGTGTGAAAATCTAGAGAATATAAGGCTTTTATGTTTTTCTTCTGTTTTTGAATTTAGAATCACCATTTATTGTTGTATCTCATATAACAGCTTACCCACTTCTCAGCAAGCCAGGACATTTCTCCACACATCCTTTGCTTTATATCCACTGCTTACAGCTTGTGGTTCCAAACTTGCCTAAATTTTACATGGAGTTTTAGATCACCTGTGGATGGATTGTCTCCCATGGGTCATTGTTAGTCTGGCAACGTCTTAGCCCTACAACCCAGAGTTTCAAAGCTCTCTAGGTGAGATTTTCCTCTGTATCTCTGTAACGTCCAATTATTGCTCTCTGTATTTCCCTTTGCAGCGAAACCTGTCTGTTTCATACTGAGACAGGGCTTCCTTTTACTAAGGCTGCCTTCCAGGATCGTTGTTCCTGGTCTCTAGACTGCCATTTGGCTACTGCCTTTCTTTTTCAACTGAGTGGACCTCGGGGGTGCCTATTCTTTTCTCCTCAGGCAGGAAAAAGGTTAAAGCTCTGAGACCTTGATCCCCCTCTCCAGGGCTTAATAATCATTGCATTCCTTTCTGGTGGGCGAGAACTTTTCTTCCCCCCCGATCTTTGTGTAAGAGAGGAATTAATGCTGGCCACCTGAGCTGACCAGGGGTGACCACACTCTCTAGCCTTTGTTCATCACAGCTCTGGAATTTCTATAAAGAAACTGATGCCAGAATCTGTAATTTTGCCGCCTTCAGTGCTGGTTCAGGGCCACGTCGCTCCATTGTCTTTGCTTAGTACTTTTATCTTAGCAGGTCCAAGGCCTCACCTTCCCCCTCCAGGACTTAGCTTTTCTTTATCCCATTTCAGAGAGCTTTATTGGTACTACCGATGCAATGAAACATTATTGTGTAACAAGCTCACTGTTCTTCGGGTTGTGACAGGACATTATGAACTGGGCTGCAACTCTAGTTTCGTAGTTTCTAGTTTCTTCCCAACTTCCCCTGTTGGGTCAAAATCAGTTCTGATTCGGGCAAGAGTGGGAAATTTATTCTTAATAAAGAATAAGGCCTCCAGTGCCTCATGATTGAACATCAATAGCCATGCTTAAATATCAGTGTCTTTCTTTTGCTCTCTTAACATTCTTATGAAACAGAAGCCTGTTCTCCAATTCTGCCTCCGTTTGACAACTTTGGGGTATATTTATCTTTTTTGTCCTTTTTGAGCTCTTCTTTATGCACCTTTGGAGTATGTATGCTCCTGTGGCTAACTGTCTGTGAGAATTCTTCATTTTTGCATGAAAAGCCACAGGGCTTTCTAATTACTCTGGTCTGCTGGGAGGTCTTATCACTCCCCTTTGGTTCCTATCTGGAACTAAATAAGGCCAAACAGCGCACCGCTGGATTTAAGAATTGCCAGTTACTCATAGCTCCCAAACACAGAACAGAATGAAGAAGAGTAGGCAACCCTCTTACCTAAGAGTAACTCATATTTTAACATATCGCAGGCACCGCATTCGCATACAGGAGGTTCAGAGTTGACTGTGATGTCTTACTGACTGCATCTAATGCCTGCAATTACCCAGGAGGTCAAAGGGGCTACTATGTAGTGGAAATCTAAGAGAACCCTAGCTGGCAGTCAATCAGTTGTGGGGAATCTGGTCGCAGGTGGCTGGAAACCCTGACCCCATGATCAGCCTGTGCTCAGGCCTATACTCACTGAGCTCCTTTTGAAGTTGTAACCTAAAGATCTCTTATCCACCCCTGGACTACCTCCTTGCTCTGACTCATGTGGTGAGCGAGTCCGCTGATGTCTGTTAGCTCACTGTAGTTAACTGTGTGGCCAGGGTGTTGATGGACCTAATGGCACACTGTCGCACAAGTTAGCCGGCACAGCTGTGTAATAGCTTGCTGTTCCAGTTGACTTTCTGGCAGCCAGCCCATTGGTCTGAGTCACAGGCACCACTAGAGAAAAAGAATTGCGCTTGTGCTATATGGCATTCCGATAGATTCTGCTCATAACTGAGCTTGCCATAGACCACGTCAAGCCTTTTAGTTTGGCTCACAGAGAAATAAGCAACTCCTATTAAAAAAACTGTTTCAGTTATGCATTTTGACAGTTATGGCTCTTATATTTTAAAAGCGTTTTCTTTCATTTTTATTATTTTTTTCTGTTATGCTCATACCTTAATTATTCTACTTAGCAACTTCTGTGATTTGTTTCGGAACCTGTTGCAGCACAGAAACTTGTCTGAAGTATACCTTTCCAAATACCCTAATAATCTGCGAGTCAGGACAGTCCCGCTGAACCTCATAGCATATGTGGAGCTGCTGGACTAGCCTACTGTAGAGAAGCAAGTAGAGTACAATGTTAAATTAATGATGAGTTAGAATGAGTAGCTCTGACTTCTTATACACTGTCTTATATGTTGCTTAGCATTGAACAGTAGACTTTTCAATTTAAAGAAGCTGCAGTGAACAATTTGTAAATTTCTGTTTAGATAAAAGATAAATATTAAAGAAAGAAAATATAATCAAACCAGCTACATAGAGTAGTACAATGTCTTTTAATAATAATAAGCACTTTTCATTCATATTGTAAAAGTGAATTTTAATTCTTTGGATCTTATATAATACTAAGTTAATATTCGGCTTTCTGCAATTCCAGGCATTATCGCAGAGTCCTTTTACAGTCTTTGAAGAAGGACCTTTATGAAGAGATGAAGTATATAACGGCCATCATCGAAGACCAACCAAAAAACTACCAAGTCTGGTAAAAACATTTTTTCTTTCAGTTTCCTCTTCTCTGTTCTCTCTGACTAAATGAATGAACCATAGTTTATTTACTGTACTGTATGTATTCCTCATGGGGTTATAAGAATTGATCAAATATTTATGGATTGTGATATTTCTTTCACACTGTGTATTGAATGTTATAATGTTATAATACATGATCCAGTGTGAACCATTAACATGCAGCTCTTGTCTAATTTAGATTTATTTCTAACAACTGTGTTGCAGAATGTACCCAGCCTTAGTTATCAATTGCACTGAGGCTTCTTTAAATAAACATTGGAATACCATTGTACTCTCTCATTGACATTGAGTAGTCTGGTCTTAAAAGCTTATCATCCACAATATTGCTGTGTAAAAATGTGCTTGTATTGTTACAATGAAATCAATCTAAAAAGGCCATTTTTAGATTAAATTTCCTTGATTGTATTTATACTTTGCAATTATGTTCGTTATTGGAAGAAATGGTTATAAATATCAGGTTTGACTGCCCTCCAGTTCATGAACTACAGGACTGCCAAGTTTGACTGGTTTGGAACTCTTAAAATGTTCTGGTATTGTAAAGGTATTGTATGAGGCTATCTTGTTCTTCCACTAATGTTTTTATGAAATGGGAAGAAGAAAAGTTGTCTGAATCCTGCCTGAATTACTTTTTACATTCCCCTAGCCTTTTTCTTTGCTCAGTTTTTGATATTTCAGAGTTTAGACCAGTACCTGCATTTCCCACAAGTTATATTTTGTACCGACTTTTGTTTTTGGCAAAGAATAGCGTTTAATGAATAGTACCAGAACGTTGAAAGAACATTGGAAAGGATGCCAAAGAGATGAGTGTCCACAGTTATTTACTTTTAGCATGTACATGCGTAAATTGGTACTGGGTTGCACATATTTTATATTTATAAAAGGATAATTCCATATGACTTTAACATCTGTCTTGAAGTTGTACCACCATTAAAATAGAATATTAACACTGACCAGTTTGTAGAGATGAAAAAGTGTATAAAACTGTCCTCTTGAGAAGCAGAAATTATTTGTTGTTTTTATGAGAAGACATAAATGTGTTTTGCCTCATTTAAGTCCCTTTCTGGTGCTAGATTGTCTTTTAGTCAGGGGCAGTATGACAGTGATGCTGATCTTACAAGGTCTGTGCTCTGGAACTGTGGTTCTGACTCTGTGCTGAGTGTTTGTTCTAATCTGTACACATTGACAATTGGGAACTAACAGCCTGTGTTCTGGGTGTAAGGCATCACAGACGGATGGTTGTGGAATGGCTGAATGATTCTTCTCAGGAGCTGGAGTTCATTGCCGACATTCTCAACCAAGATGCCAAGAACTACCACGCCTGGCAGCACAGGCAATGGGTCATTCAGGTAAGATTTGCCCTGACATGTAGTCATGCATTTACACAGTCATAAAAGCTCTTACTGTGTGTGGGGGGGGAAGCTATCTGAAAGTAAAACAAAGAGGCGCATAGGTTTCAGCTATAAATATTTAAAAGTAACTGGTTTTAATGTCCTTGTTGAGCCTGTTATAAACCTGTATAAATTCAGTACATCTGTCTAAAAATACATATTGTGGATCATGCAGATCATGGCTGTTTACCAGAATTTGTCCTACCAGCTCAGCTCTTAATGATTTAATTAAGAGTTTAACTCTTTTCAAAGGCTTTCAGCTGGTGGTGAATTTAAGGAGACCAACAAAAATTGTTGTTCTTTTGTTAGACCATGCGCTATTAGGAAATGAATCTGTGTTTCATCACATTTAATGTTTTTTACAGTTGGACTTTGAAATAAATGAAATCTGTCTTTTTCCAAACTTACTTCGATGACATCTGACAGTCCTGTTCAGATAAAAAACTGGCTACAGCTCTGCGTGGCTCTACAAGGCTGTTTGTAGAACTGTATTCCAGCTGCACAGAAGTTTAACTATGAGCTTACATTTTTTATTACATTCAATAAAATTGTATTTTTTTGCGTCTTTGAATACAGACAGGCAAACCAACAGAATAAATACAATTAAAATGCCTATTCTTGTTGTTTATTTATTATGTTCACCTATGAAGGTTTTCTATGTTTTGCACATGGCACATTGTTTTAGGCATAATAACCTCTGCTGGGTATCATCTTAGGATCTGATTTGTGTTGGCAAATACAAATATGATTTATTTGCAGTTGTAGCATAGTGACAGAAGGCAAATGCCATCCAAATCAAATCTAAATGGTTCAGCAGAGAGTTTCAGAAGAGATGCTTTTTCCTGAATGAAAACAATGACTCAGACATTTGAGACTTGATGTGAAATAAATGTATACAGAGCTGCTAATGTGGCCTGAGCCCTGTGTAGGATGTGTGTTTTATTCTTGGCAGGAGTACAAGCTGTGGGAAAATGAGCTGGAGTATGTGGAGCAGCTCCTGGAGGATGATGTAAGGAACAATTCAGCCTGGAACCAGAGGCACTTTGTCATCGCCCACACCACGGGCTATAACGATCCAGCCATCATGGACCGAGAAGTTCAGTGAGTGCTGTCACTCAACAATATATCTGTAGTGTGGGTTTGTTTAGTTCCCTTTTTAATTTTAGTTGTTTAAAACTGGCAGGTGTAAAGCTAGGTAAATTGCTCCAATTTTAATATACAGTACATGTATTTTGCCTACAAATATATCATGAAAGCATGTTCTGAAAATAACAAATGGATAAATGGTCTGTGTGTTTTATGTAGGCAATTTTTAATTTAAAATCACCCTTTAAGTTTGTAAGAGTCACCTAATTTGGAATAGCCCGTTGTGTTTTTTTTACTGTACGTTCCTACATGCAGTAGTGAATGCACCCAGGGGAGAATAAGAAAGTTTGGTCAGAATCCTTTAACCCAAACCCCACTTCTAGCTTTTGTCTTTTAACATGTTACAGGCTCCACAGCACTATACTGCAGGTTCAGTGCTGATGAGAGGAGAGGCGCGCCCTCACTAACAACACTGCATGCCTGCTAGTGCCCATGAGGCCGCAGGCGTTGATGAGAACCAGGAAAGCCCTGGCCGACTAATCCCACCCTAGTCTACACCTTGGGGAGTCTCTGGGGTGGGTGGCCAGTAACGTGATCCAGGCTCATATCGGTGATTGTAGAACTCAGCCTGCATTAGGGCCCGTAACTTACCAGTTGAGCCACTTACACCAGGCAGTTATTTTTTGCTTGCTTCAAACCCAAGGATAACCAAGAGACTCAGGTACAGGAAAGGCTCAAGTCATCATCTGCCCCTTAGTCATGTTAGGTATTGATACTTAACCCATTCAGCAGTGTCATTCACTTAATATCGGAGATTATATTATCGGATCGGTGTGGTTTAACAAATACTGTTCATTACACTTCAGAAAGTAGTGGATACAATTGTAGTAGATGGTTAGACCCAGCACATGTCTGCAGCAATAGAACTATTTGTATCAGTCTGAACTGTGTGCTAAAAAAATAAACAAAGTTATTTTCAACAAAAATGCATGTATGTAGGAAGGCATTTTCTTATCACTAAATATTTAATTCACAGATATAACAAAAATGCATTGATTTTAAATATAGATTAGAAGAAAATTAGTCTTTTCCTTTGACATTTTTAGATCTTAAACATGTGTAATGGAAGACAATCTATGTGTTAATATATATGGCATGGCCCTATTGTAGACTTAAAAGTCCATCTGTAAAAGTTTATTTTGAATGAATGGTCTCTAGGTGTCTTGACACAAATTTCATAAATGTTTTAGAATAATGTTTGTACTCGTGTTAATATGTGAATAACAGACCTTTCAAAACTCCTCTTTTGTTTATGTAAGTTCACCTTGAGTAAAAGTATTTTTGTCACTGTATTACAGGTACTGTCTGCAGTCCATCAGAAAGGCTCCTCAAAATGAAAGTGCCTGGAACTACTTGAAAGGGTATCTTAATGTACAGCTAATTAAATTGATAAAAACAGATTTGAACTTGTATCCCATAACTGATGAGCTAATTTCTGTATTTTTATGTGCAGAATCTTTGAGACCTTTAGATCAAATGTGAGTTATTTCTATTTTCAGCCAGCAGGTGTCAGCAGTGTTGTTTATTGAACTGTAATGTGAAAAATATTAAGACTTGTACATAAGCACTGCATGATTAGCTAAACCAGAAAGTCAGAAAGAAAATGTTACTTTACAACTTCTGCTTTGATATTGAAGGTGGTATTTGTATACCTTTTACCACTTTCACAGATAACATTTTAAAAACAAAGCTAACAGATCTGACAAGTTCTAAGTAGAAATCTGGGAATGTATATTATATATAAAATATATTATGTGTTTATAATTAAAAAGTGTTTAGAAAAACAAATATTTTCTGAATAATGTTACATATTTATATAAACAGGTAAATGCTGATTTATGGCTAATTTTGCAATTATGAAATTAACAAGAAATTTGAAGGCATAAACAATTAATTCTGCAAATTACAGTTTTTAATTGCTATCATGCAGTCATGGCCGACTACTGCATGACTATTTGAAATGTGTAATTATACACTGTGTAATGTAGCATTCAGCATTAAAAAAAAAACACTATTTCTTGTTTGCACAGAATGATTTCTAACTTTTTGTGCCCGTTTAAGGAAACTTTTATTGCAGAAATTATTCCGGAAAGGCAGAGAGATCATTTGTGTCTCACCGGTGCAGGCAAAACGGGAAAAAATATTTTGTTCCAGTTTTTAGTGATTTTAATATACAGCCTTTAGTCACTATCAATACGCACCGTAAATGGCACCTTTTTTCTGCATTTATCATAGAATATTACAAGATCGAGCATTGTCGGCACGGCCAGGCTTGCTGGAGGAGATTCTGGAGCTGCGGAAAACACACAGCTCTCCTTACTTGTTTGCCTTCCTGGTAGACCTATATGAAGACATGCTCGAAAGCAAGAGCAGTAATCAGGAGGAGCCCTTAACCAAGGCACTTGAGGTCAGTATGGACTGCAGGGTGCAAAGCAACCGGAGGCGTAGTTCCGACGGGGGTGACAACAAGACAAGAATATCCGAATGAATTTATTAGTGAGGAAAGAAGTGCATGACCAAAGTGCCTTTTAGTCCTTTCCTGAAAAGCCATTCTGCGTAATTGTGGGTTGATGAGGAGGAATAAATGACACGAGTTTTGTCTGTAGGCATTGGATAGAGGATTAACAGATTTAATTAAATATCTTAAAACAAGCTGGAAGGTAATCTTTGTTTCTTATCTGTTTGGAAAGAAAAAAAATCATCTCTGGACTGACGTGTAGCTGTTGTAGAGCAACATGCTCATAGTGGAATGTGTAATTCCATGGTTAATTCTGCACATTTAACTGATTAATGCTTACTTTAAGTGTTTAACATTCTTTATTGATTAATATAGATGACAATAGGAATTATTTTCCAGCTTTTATGTCTTTCAAATACACACAGCACACTCCTGGGTATTCCTGTTAGCTTAGTTATATAATTCAGCTCTTCACTGTAATGTGCGTAATGAGACATTTATTTAATAATTGTAGTGATTAGAGGGCAATAACCATTACAGATTACAATTTACAAAGACTTCATATGGCTAATGGTTAATGCATTTATTTTTATAGGAGAACCTACCTTTAAACCTGGAATGTTTTTAATGATGATATTAACAGGGAAACAATTTAAACTAGCTTAAAGTAAAGTAAATGTAAAGTGATAATGTTATTCTCATCCACACCATTACATTTCCAGTTGTGTAGAATAGGAAATAGAGTATCATCGCATTTTGTTCTGACTTTGGTTCCTTTCTGTTTTAATACCAATGGACAGTTGTTCTCTTCTTTATACAAAATTCAGTGTTTGTGCTTAACCATAAATACACCTTAAAAAGACATCCAGAGCATAAGAAGCACAGACTCCTATGAGAAATCATTTTCAGGGATACTGGGGAAACCTTAGACACATTAGAATGGCAGCTTTTCTGTAGTTCAGGAGGAGTCAACCGTGGTAATTCCTTTCCTTTCCATTGTAACACGTTGTTCACACAATGCTTCAGCTAATCCTTAATTCATCAAAGTTATCTTCAACACTTGGGTTAATTAAGCAATTAAACCTGCAAAGGCACTTGGTTGAACTCTTATGATCCAGGCAAGTCAGGGTGAGTTTATTTTCTAATCTTCATACTCTTAATTCTGCACAGCAATCCAGCAGTGATGAACTTTTGGAATTTAAAAATCCTTAGCCGTGGTTATACTAGCTGAAGATGGAGACGACTGTTAACATTTCAAGATTAAATATGCATGATCAGCATAAGATATCTCTAATCGGCACTGCTGGCATGAAAGTTTTTTCTTTTCTTTGTGGTGCTGGTGCTCTGCAGTGTGACTGTGACTGTACCTTCCAGGGAGTGATCTCTGGTCTGTAGAAGAGAGAATGAGTAATGCTGGAACTATTGCTGACTATCGCCATGACCCAGAACTGAACACCTCCCCCCACCCAAACTGTTTAAATACTGTAAATACAGCGAACATTTGTATTATAATTTATATGATACAGAATAATATTCTTTTTATGATGGTTAAGGTCATGCAGTCATTCATTCATGACTGCTTGAAGTCATACACAACCAGTTCAGCCACAGCACTCCTTACACTGATGATCATGGCTCTGCAATGTTCAAAGATTAACTGTAGCTCAGCCCACTGACTAGGGTCTTTGGTCTCAGGGTTGTGTTTTCTGTTCATTTGAGCTAAATACTGAAAATTTTAATACTTAAAATCAAACAGTTTTAGAATTGTATATAAAACTCCGTAATAGTTCTGAATTTTAACACTTTCATTTTGGTCAACTTGTAACGATGAACCGTCAAATATAAAAGGATAGTGTATTTCCTGTAATATTTTGGCTGTAACTCACCTGGACGAAGAAATAAGAGTGATAGCCAGTGGTCATCTGCCCTCTCTCACTTACAGTATGAGGGATGAGGCACGGAGAAAATGCAGCAGTGGTGAAGCTGGGGTGGAGGGTGGGTGCTAAAAAAGAAGGTGCAGTCCTTGCTCAATCACAGACTTTATTACCCGTCACTTATGCACGGAAGAACAAGATGAGAATTTGACCTCCTCCCGATTTTTTTAACACCCTATTATCTACCAGCTGTTATACAGTCACGTAATTATAATTAATTCTAAATGATAGTTAATAATTTCCGATTATTTTGAATAACAGTTTTCTTCATGATACAATGATCATTTTAGTTTTTTAAGCATTTACATTGAAGACTGAAATGGTGCAAGATGTGTGGTAAAGAATGTAGAATTGTGCTGTGATATATTACACCACAGACATTATTCAAATAAACGTGAGGGTGATTCTTGCCATCGTTTTATTGCATGTAGTAGGTGAGACGTTCGTCAACACACAAAAGGGACAAGTATGGCCTCAGCCAACAAAACCTTAGCTGATTGTGCATGGTTCTGGTTTAGAGTATTTAAAAAAAACAGTGATGAATGTCCTTCATCGATATTGTATATGAATAGGTAGCCCTCTTGCTATAACCTCTTCAGCAAAAAGGTATGATTTAAAGGCAAAAAGTAATTTGCACCCAGAATTACTTTAAAAGCAACATTTGCATGATTTCATATAATCAACAACAATTTATAGTCCCATAACTTCTCAATGGTTACGCTAAGTTGAGTACTAAAGAAACGATGCAATACAAACACTTTTACAAGAAAAGTGGTAACATTAAAGTTCTCCCAGGCTACCTGTAAACACAGCAGAAATATTTAATTTAATATTAAATATAACTTCATTTACTTCTTCAAAATTCGAATTTTGTTGCAAAGTGCATATGCTGTTTTTGTGTGTCTTATTGTCGCTTTAAAACTGGACAGTGGAATTAATTCACAGCGTTATTAATGTTAGCATAATAGAACAATTTTTTCAATCATTGCAGTTAAAAATTACTGAATGTGACACCAAAAAACATCTGAAAAGGTGCCTAAGATGCAAGTAATTATATTTCTTGTGTTGGTGGGGTTGCACCTATTTTGAGGGGAAATGTAACATTAAAGTGTTCTTTCTGTATGGAGGGGAAAGTTAATTGCACAACGTAATTGAGCGTTTAGGGGATATTGAGTAAATGTATATTCCATCTGTGATAATGAATATGCGTATTAAGGAGTAGAAAATATACATTTTATGATTTATGGAATATGGAAGGGGAAAAAAAGTATGATGAAGAAGTATTTGGGTCTATTTCTGTACTGAAATGTACATGAGTACACAGTTTTAAATTCCAACTCCCATATATATATACTTATTTCACATTTTATTTGTCAACTGACATTTCTGTCAGATAAAGTACCCATCCACTATAGAATTCAGATAATGATTGTTCTTGTTTTTTTTTACAATTTGATTGCATTATAAAATCCTACTGTTTTTGTTCCAGCTTTAATAGGTCTACAGCACCTTTATTTTTGTGTACCTTCTTGCAAATACCGATGCAGAATAATTTAAACTTTTTTTTTTGACACAAGGATTTTTGCTTTTGTATTTGCTTATATTAAGTCTGTGGGTGAGGCAGATCTATTAAAATAAGAGTAGCTGCAGTGTTGTTTAACCAGTCCAGTCTTTGCATAGTTTGGGGAAAATTAATTCTCGCAAGTCATATCTGTATGTTTAATATAAAAGGAGTGCAAGAAAGATATTAAACAATAATTTGAGCATTTGTTTTTACCTGTTTACATCTTATTGATCTTCCCACTGTGCCTTTGCAGACATTTATGACTAAGTTTTCAGAGTCCCATGTACCTTTTTTTACTGTTGGAAGATTATATTTTGAAGCTAGAAACTGATCAAACTTGGGACATAGATGTAATCTAAAATTCTCTTAATACAGTTCTCTCTGCCTCTGTCTCAATTCATTATTTATGTGGTAATCTTATACATACCATGTCATACTGAGACCTATGATTAATAAGAGAAAAGTAATAGGTTTAATCCATGCTGAAAAAATAATACAAAATAATAAAACACAACGTTCACCCTAAGAAGGCTCCACGGCCAAAACATTGTGTTTTCTTTCTTCTCTTTTCTGCATGGAATAAACCTATTATTTGTTCCTTCGTAGCCTACGCATACTGATGCAGCTACCCACCTGAACTACTTAGACCTAAGATTATATGCACAGCACGTCAGAATATCTTATCCTAACACAGACAGTATTATATTTGTATAAAATGGAAACTGGGGTTTTGTTGATCATTTTAAGCCTGTGTTTTCTTGTATATTTGGTATGTAACCTTATCTACCCATTCTCTTTTTGCTAGCAATGGCTACAAGCAGTCCTCATAGCTGTTAATTAAGAGCCCTCGTTAATTGCTACCATGTGCTTTTTATGAGGAAGGTCACCTTCTGTGTACAAATATAATGATGATGTTTCACTAATGGATGTTTGTGTAATTTTTTTTTTTCAATTTATAGCTGTGTGAACTACTTGCAGAAGAAAAGGATAGCATCAGGAAAGAATACTGGAGATACATTGGGAGATCACTGAAAGACAAATATGGCACCAGTGAGGAATCCACAACTCCTTTGCAAGAGCATCAAGAAAACTGTGGAAATGACTGATATGACCAAGGATTTGAAACGATAATTTGCTGCAGAAAAATAATTTTGGCAACAGGTCATCATTACCACATTGGTAATGAGTATTCATACCAGCAAGGATAAGAAGAATGCATATTGAAAGTATTCAAATCATAATGCTGAAGTGTTTAAATTGAGTTCAGGAGAGGTTTTGGGTGGTTGAACACCAAGAACCTCCTATCACAGAAAAAAACTTAACTCCCTTAACTTAGGCGGAAACTATAATATCTTGCCAAAACATTGTGTAGCCATATTCTGCATTGCTTAGACTGTAAAGTCTTTTGTACGCTAGAATTAATATAATTGTACCTGACTAAAGCTGTTGTCCTTGCTTCTGTTTACAAACTCAATTTTATGTTTTTCTGCTGTATAGCATTTGATTTATCTTATGTTTGTATGAAAGTGTTATGTAGAAGATTCAGAAAGGTAAAGTATTTTCAAAGGGATTAAGCATATGTTGTGTTTCCCCCCCAAAAAAATACTGAAATTGCAATGATAATTAGTGTGGAGGACAACTAGTGAATAAGGACTTTATTTATATCAAGGATCCTTTATACTTAATAAGCTTGGCAGATTATATTAAAATAGGAGGTTTAGAAAACACTATAGGAGCAAAGTACATTAATTACATTTAATGCAAAGAAGTGCAACTATTACATAAAGGTAGAAAAAATTAAAATTAGAAATATGTGAAGAGAATACCCTTAGCTTGAAGAAGCTAATCATGAAAAATACAAGGTTTTATGTTGATACACAATTTGCATCTTTAGATATTGTGGGGAAACTGCTAAAAGCAAAGAAAGTCATAAAATACAGTGTGAAATACAGAAATCTTAAGGCATCCAAATATTAGACTTTGGTTATGAAGAAGCAAGAAAAATATTGTGACGAGTCTGGACTACTGTTAGATTACAAGAATCAAACTTTATTATTCTTGAACAGAGAAGACTATGATGGGGACTTGATTTTTCTTGTGCTTGTGCGAGAATTGTGTGGTGTATTTTGAAAACAAACATATGGGAACAAGCCAGATAAAAGTTAATAACATTTCTTCTTTTAGGAAATGGCTTGATGAAATTGTTTACTAGTAGCCCAGTGAATCATATGGGTTGAAGGGCCTCCTACTGTTTGTGAAGCTCCATGTTTCTGAGAATATAAATGTATGGAGTGAGAAGTTGTTTTGAGGCTCTGTGCACAGATACATTTTCAACTTTGTAAGAGTATGCCTTCACTATCCATCCATTCAAATACAGTATTTTCTAACTGCTTCTTTCAATACAGGGTTGAGGGAGACTCAGAACCTATCAATGCAAGCAATGTGGGTAAGGCAGGGTATCCCTTGGGCGGGATGCCGGTCGATGATGGGGCAAACAGACACAAACACAGACTAACACCTTGGGCCAATTTTCCCTGAAGTCAATTAAACTATCAGTATGTCTTTGGACTGTGGGAGGAAACCAGAGTTTTCCTGAGGAGAGCATATAAACTCCACACAGATCGCTCCTCAGGTTGGAATGGAACCCAAACACTTAGAAGTAGCAATGCTAACCTGCCTTCAGTATTTAAAAGTTTACAGTGGTGTGAAAAAGTGTTTGCCCCCTTCCTGATTTCCTATTTTTTGCATGTTTGTCATACTGAAATGTTTCAGATCATCAAACAAATTGAAATATTAGACAAAGATAACACAAGTAA